ATTTTGTTAGGAAGTTAATTAATTCAATTTGTCAATTGTAATTAAAATTGAGTACTTAGTACCAATTTAGCTTCATATTTCTTATTCTTCCCCCGTTTCTTTCTTTTGTTGATTTACTCTGTCTCTCACTCATATCTCAAGAATTTGAGATTCTGAAAATGGAATAATGGTTTTAGATTTTTAGGTCTTCTTTAAAATGAGGAATTAGACATCATTTGAAATGCCCAGGTTAGATTAAGGATGAGATGAGAAATCCTAAAAATCAATGTAGAGAAAATCATACACTTTCCAATAAGCCAAAAATACCTCTTTGGGGTAAAGAATGAAAAACATAGAAAGGGATTCGAGGGAAGCAACGTCATAAGCAAAGAGATAGTGAACTTAAAGGAGATCAGCTGCAAAAGATAGAGAGAAGAGTGCTGAAAGAAACAGAGATGTAGAATCTAGATAGAAAGGAGGAGCGTAGGTTAAGGGAAAAAAAATAAAATTATTATTATTATTATTATTATTTAAAAATAACAATCATATTGATAATATTAATATTTATTTTTAAAAAATTTTAAACTTGATATTTGAATTCTTTATCATAAAAAATACAACTACTTTATTTCTTTAAAAAAAAAAAAAAAACGTGAGCACTTGGCCACCTAGGTTATTGAAAAGAAAAAGGGGTTCGAATTAGAGAAAAGAAACTTTGGGAGAATTGAGATTTGAGTTGCTACGAAGAAATTGTGAGAGGTGAAGGAGTAGAGGGAGATCAACCGCCATAGTTGGTAGATGAAGGGAGAGAGCAGGTTGAGTCACGAGAGACACTGTGATTTTAACCATATCACATTTTTTATTTTTCTCTTTTAGTAGGACTTTGTCGATCAATTTTCGGTGACTACTCATGATTGATATGATTACAGAATTGACAAACCCGGTCCCGAATTGACAGTCTTTTGAAAAATGATTTCTTTTTCTTTTTCTTTTTTTTTGATTTCTCGTTAGTATCTGGGGCTTTACTTCGATTACTCCGGATTCAACCAGCTGTGGTGCACTAAAATGGTGGGTAGGTCTTCCAACAAAAATTACTGCATACATAAGGTCTCGAACTCGAAATCTTGCATAAACTGAAATAAGTCGCTTGCCACTTGATTCAATCCTTCGTTCGTTTTCCTTTAAATCTTCAGTATTTACTGAAAGTTGACAAGCGTTCACTGTAAAGAGAAGACTTTGTCCTGTTACCCTTTCTCAAGTCTTCCTCAATTATTATTTTATTTTCCGTACATACTCTCTCATCAGGTTTTGGTACAAGAGTAGTGCGAGTTGCCACCACTTGGCTATTGATGGGTCAAAATCACTTTACTTTTAAAATGAGTCGTTTAATTTACATTTTAATATAATAAATATATTTTTTAATAATTAATTTATAAAAAAATATAAAAATTAATATTTATTTTAATATTATTATATAAATTTATATAATAATAATTAAACATTTAATTTTATTTTTTTTTGAACAAGTTATTAAGAAACGGGCTCGAAACTCACCCATAAACGAAGATGAATGCACCTCAAACTGATAAAATACCAGTTGACTCAAAAAATCAGTTGCAATTAAACATTTAATATATATATATATATTTTATAAGGACATTTAATATTTATTTTTACATTAATAGCATATAGATGGCTACAATTGGTCACAAGCGTTCTCGAAAGTTATAGTAATAGCCTAATAGGATAGGACTCTTCAGTATTTACTGTTCACTGTGAAGAGAAGACTTGTCCTGTTCCCCTTTCCCAAGTCTTCCTCAATTATTATTA